TGTAGCCCTTCATCCCAGTTTGCTTCTGGCCAAATATCAACACCCTAGAGCTTTGGCTTATTAAGAAAAACTCGTTTAAAGTAAAATATTGACGACGGACCCCGGATCCTGCGCCACATCATAAGCTCACTTGGCACTTTGTGCCATGTATATGTATTTCAGTAATATCGGGGTAGAACAGAGTAGGACCAATGTGAGACCAGCCCACACAATACTCAGTTTGAGCAATACAAAAACAAAATTATAAGTACATTCAGGGTTTCCACTGCAGTAAAGAAGTATTAGAATATAGGGGAGGAAGATATAGGCAAAAAACCTTATGGAACATGTATTGATTGGAATCGATGTTATGGGGAGAACAATTTGAAACATCTCTTGTTGACAGTTACTTGCACGTTTAATGGTCTTCAAATAGTTTTTCACTGTTTTCTTTGATGTGACGCAAAAAAAATCAGTTATTTAAGGCTTACTACAAACTATATTTTCAGCTGGAAGATTGGTTTATGTTTTTATAGGGAAAAAAATACGATTGAATATTTCTCAGTGTTATATTTTATCCATATACTATCCAATGTTTACATTGTATTACAGGCTTTTACCGGCAACAAGTCTTCTATGGAAATACAGAGCCTCACCTAGCAGCACGCACTAATGTACTACCAGCATTTTTTCCACCAACACCACCACATACCTCAGATATAAGACCATCTACATCTGTCCCAAGGTGACTGGACTTTGTGTCCCCCAGTACAGAAATTAATGAAAGGCATTATTTGGACAAAGTTCCAAATTCGGACCCACATGACAGGAATGTAAACAAGGAAGGAAGAAGTTTCCTAAATGTATGTATTCATAAATTAATATATATTATAATGTATGCATACAAAGTGTCACATTAATTCTTTGTTAGACAATTATTACTTTAACTCGTTTTAAAGAATACATTAAAAGTTCTTGTTTTTTGTTCCATGCATGGATTCTTGATAAGTTCTTTAGACAAAACATTCTGTACCAGTGAAACATAATATACAAACAGATTCAATTGCTGAAGTCATCATATTGCCAGAAGCCCTTTTGATTTTAAATTTCTGATTTAAGGTTGTCTTTAGGTTGTTGGAAGAGATGTCACTAAATTGTGTTCATATATTTAAACCTTGGTTAAAAATATGAAGGAAAAATATACAATTACACTTAGCAATTTAACAAACCAAATTTGGCATATTAGCTAAATTGATATATATATATTAAAGCTGAAATCATCAATCGTAGATATAGATGTATGCTTAAATCTAAAAGCACTATTTTCCAAATCAATTAAAGAGAAAAACTGTAGAAATAAGAGAAATGATTTATTTAAAGGCTGTTTTAAGTGGAGGTGTGCAGAAATGTGACGTTAAAGAGATGTGTGACCGGCAATTCAAAGACCTGATGTTGTTTGTGAGTATTATCTCAAAAGTTTCAAATGTACAAACAGTATGTTGTGAATAGTTGATGATATAACACAAGAAAGGGGGCTACCACCTGGTAAATTATCTTGTGAAAAAGTAAATCAGGTACAATAATTGAATATTTAAATAAGTTCACTTTCTCCAGCAAAAAGTGTAAACTAAAAGTATGTTTTACGTTGTTTCATTTTGACAGGTAAAGTAGATGTGTCCAAACCTGAGTTTTGAACATACTGGAACCACAAAATTCATCAGAAAAAAAATATCAAAACATTTGATGATTTTGAAAACTTTACGTAATTTGGATTTTTAGGTGCATCATCTATGAAAGACCATCTGAAAATATTTTGGTTTACTATACATTATTACGCATTATGACCTTTGATTAAGTTGAACGAGAGCATATACAAATATTTACAAATGTGTAAGAAAATAAATCATTTGCTTATATCAAATAATTTTGTAAATAAAAAAGTCCATCAATAGTCACTGCCATTAAACTAAAGCATGAAATTCAGTGTGTTTAACTTCAAATTTCATCAACATGTTTATTTCTCTTTATGTTAAGTTAGATTTTAAAAAGTTCCAGTACCCAGAGAGGAGCTCCAGTACAAGTAAGTATAATCTGCATCTCAAAACAAAACTCCAAAATTACACATCGTTGGAGTTCAATCTTATACCCTAGTTCTGTTAACAAATTGGGGACATTGGATTGCTTGCAATACTTTGTTATGGGCAGAGCCCTTGTAGGGGACGTAAATACATACATATTAAATTGGCTGTTCTTTTTATGAAGTTCTTCAATTTTTTAATGAACTTACACCATACAATGTCTTACAGAATGTCTAACTTAACTGACCCAAAAGTCACAAGGCCAGGTAACCGAGTCAAGCTTACTACATGGATGCCTTGGGGTGTGTTCGTAACGGCTGTCCCCAACATGTTCTGGCTGTTCCATAGAACAGTGCGTTTTGAACGCACCAGAACAGGAAATGGTCAATTCAATATGGCGGCTTCGATGTCGATGGGGGCAATTGCCGGTTTAGCCGCTGTTGTTTTGGATGATGAAGACGATACCGAAGTGATCGTGGACGATATTCCTGCATTGTTCTTAGCGTCAATTGCAAGTGTTATGTAAGTGTGATAACCATTAGAGTCGTAAGTGATAATATTCTCTACAAAACAATATTTGAATAATTAATATTGATGGTGCGTGGGACGACCATAGCCTTCATAAGTTATTCAAACACACGATCGTCTGTAACAAATTCCTGTGAGCAACACACGGACGAAATGAAAATGTTGGGATCCCATGAAGTTTAAATATATATTAATTTAATAATTTTGGAATTAGATACAGGTTATGTTGTAGATTATGGAATATATTTTCAAATATGGTCATGGCATGATTATATTATGGTTTGTTATAAATTATAAACAATTTCAATTATACCACGGTTATTGGCCTATGAAACATAAGTTTTTATGGATAAAATTTTGTAACGTCAAATTACATCACTGTGGGTTTTCTTTGCCTGTATTGTATTTTTTACAAAAGGAATGAAACTCAGATATGGTCTATTACTTGAAGTTATATGATTAAAATGTAAATATTCATGTTTTTATTTTCTTTCAGGGAAGGCGATGAAAAGTCACGAATTCGTAACTATGTAGAAGAAGTGGTACCCAACTATACAGACGATGATTTTAAAAGGATGTTTCGCATGAACCGAGATACTCTTTTACACTTTTTACACTTTTGCAACACATTAAAGAGTTTCCAGAGCTGCAACCTGCAGGGCCGGGACGAAGGGATCCCATATGCATAGAAAAACAACTTTTAGTAACTCTTTGGTATGTTGGAGGAACGGATTCCATTAGGAAAATAGCAGATCGCTTTGGTATGTCAGAGTCAACGACGGTAGTATGTAGAGATAAGATTCTTTCAGCAATACTGAAACTTTGTGATAAAATGCTATTGCTGTATATCAGGCCAAATGATCAAGAGGAGGAACGGGAGTTCAAAACACGAAATGGGTTCCCAGGAATTGTTGGTGCAGTAGATGGCACACATATACGGATAAGGGCTCCACATACAAACCCACAGAGGTATGTTAACAGGAAACAATATCACTCTATTCAACTTCAGTGTGTTTGTAAACATGATATGGTGTTCACCGATGTGTTTACAGGGTACCCTGGAAGTGTGCATGATGCCAGAGTGTTGAGGAATTCGGATCTGTGGGATACAGGCTTGTCAAAGTGCAATATGGAATATCACATACATGGAGATGGAGCTTATCCTCTTCGTAAATGGCTAATGACGCCGTTTCGTAATAATGGGCATTTATCTCCACAACAAAAAAGTACAATTTTTACCAGTCAAGTAATCGTGTCGTAATAGAGAGAGCTTTTGCTCTCTTGAAGTCAAGATTTAGACGACTCCACTACATAGAAACTGTGAAAGTATCAACTACTGTAGATTTAAGGATTGGTTGTAGCGCACCATTCAATATATCTCAAGCCCGATGTAGTTTACACGCCAATAAACGTCAAAAATATGACAACCAATCCTTATATTTATATTCCAAACCAACAATATTAGTTGTGCAATGTTGCGAGAATTGTTAATTTCTGTTTTAAAACTCTTATACACACCGACTGGGTCAGCGGTAAATTGTTCGGAACAGCCGGGTAGTTTCGCATTCCACAGTCGTTGTCAAGGGAAACCAGGCCGACAAAAACAATAAACAAGAAAGTTCCTCAGTAAACACATCAATTTAATAATTATTATTTTTTTATTTAAATGCATATATGTCAATTACAAATTTGTATACTAACATGTGACCTTTTTAATATATGTTGTGGTGATTTAGCGATTTAACTGTCATACAATAACATTTTAAGACACAACACAGCGGAACATCGCCACTTGGCGGTAATTAGGTCAGAGATCAGCTGGCGGAGGCGGCCATTATTGAAAGCTTTGAGTCGGCTGACACAAGTTTTCACTGTTTACCGAAGGTAAATGAACATCCATGAAAGGTAGAATTACTCAAGAAACCTGACTTGAATGAAGACGAATTAGACTGATATGCAGAAGATGGAGTAGACAAGTGTGATGCTGTGCTTTCTGTTAAAACTGTGGTGGGCATGACTGTGTTTTCCGTTGAAGCTGTGGTACACGTGTTGGTCATGGCCGAAACGATGGAAAGTGGGCCATTTTCAGAGACCGGCTTACAGACAACAATACTTTTTTCGCCAGTTACAAGAGCGGACAACGAGGACGAAAGCGATTTTTTCTGCTCTGAAGAACACGACTGATTATATGATCGAAGAGAGGATTCACTTCTGTGTCCCGACAGATACATGATGCATCTTGCTTCGTAACCCGAGTGAGACAGATTCTCAATACCTGTGGCTCTGCGACAGTGTGCGGATTACTTCCGATTTACACCGGCACCCTTACAAAGGTCAGCCATCATGTTGGCAAATGTGCGGGCGGCGAGTGGTTTGTTTGTATACCACACAGGGCTGGTTTCCGTAACGTCACAAATGAAGTGGTTAAATAGCTTGTGTGCTGATTCATCTGTTCTGTTAATGAGTTGACGGAGAAGTTTTACTGGACACAATTCGGAGTCTACTGCATACATTCGTTTGTCGGACGGGGCTTCACAATTTGATACCCCCCCCTGGAAGTTTTTTTGCCGTGTCTCGTGATTGTTGATGAAATTCCAAACCGCGACTGACGAAATGAATCGCGAGATTGTACCACACAGCTAAACGGAGAACAACAGCTGATGAGTGACACATAGATTTCAGGTAGGTGCAAATTTTGCCGAGATCCTCTTTTGTGATGATATCTTTGTGTAAGGTCGGACGTGAAAGGCCAGACCTCATACGTTCTTTTAATAAACCGTTTAAGGTTTTGTTGCATGATTTGAATTGCTTATCCCTAACAATATCCATGTCTCTGCCTAGGTCCTGTAAATGACGGTTCAATGCAGCCCTAATATTTTTGAGAGTGTTCTTGTGATATTCCCCGGCATGTTCAGGTTTTAACATGCTTGCCCTCGCCTCAGTTTGCTTTGGTCTTGCTTCGCAGTAAAATTTCGCTAAAACTGTTGCTAGGTTTTCCACATTCACATCAGTAAAATCCAAGGGCCCCTGGTATACTTCATGGTGCCAGTCTGAAAAGAGAAAAAAAAATTGTTATAATCCACGATTTTGTGAGCTGCTCTGATCGATCATGATATGATAACGGATTTTAAACCAGCAACAAGAAGATGAAAGCTTTGTGTAATGATGAAATAATTGTTTATTTGCTGTTTTTAAAATGCGATAATCAATTAATTTTATCAAGTGTGTTTACACTGTTTACACGGAGTCACTTGCAGCGTGAGATATTTGTTATGATTTGTTCAGACGGTAGCCTAATTGGTCAGCGACGGCTTTGATTGGTGGCTGTAAACCCATTCATAAAAATGTCAACGTAATGAGTGTGTGTACAAGTGTTTGTATGTGTGTAAATGGAGGAATGTTTACCTTGAAACAGCTTCAGGGCCCATGATGTGTTTTTTTTGGTTGACTCGCTTTGGTTGGCGTCTTGGTATATTTTTTGCTGGTTAGCATCAACTGTTTTAAATCTCTTTTTAGTATCTGTATCGGGCTCCTCTTGCACATGAACTGTCTCATCTTTGACTTCAGGGAAAGTAGTAGTAGTAGCCCCGATATTATCTGCTAATTGCAATATTTTTTCCAAATTGTTTGCCGTCATGGAAGTAATCACTTCCAATACCGGAGTTTCCGGAGGGGGGATATCCATGTCGGATTGTGTTATTTGTCTTTCCATGTGTTGAATGTCGCTCAGAGTCACTTCGGAGGCCGCTATCAGGTCAGTTATTGACGAATCACTCCAATTATCTTCTTCTTGGTCAGTATTAGGTGTTGCTGGTAGATGTATACCAAAAGTGCCATGATTGATAGGTTCATTGAACATTTCCTCGTCAGTGTATTCCAATGATGCCATCTTTTCTAAAAGCAGACGACAAACTCGGTTGCTGACGTCACGTGGTTGATTTACTTGTTTTCTATATTTATTTTTTTATTTGTTTTATTCCCATTGTTTCATACCATTTCATAACTTTCTGTTTCTATTTTCTACAGTTTTTGTATTTTTCCTTTTTATTTATAGTGTACTTTTTAAAATTCTCACTGAAACGCGAGTCATTTCGCCCATAAAAGTAGTTCTGGCAAACAAATTTTGTATCACTACACTGACCTAATCCCCGTTGTATTTATTGGAAAATATGTTACAATGGGACCAGTACAGTTATCTAGGCACTATGCAGTGCAAATGTAAATATATCATTATGGTCTGCTGCATTCTCCTTAACTTCTGTATAGTGGAAAATGATGTCATAGATGAATATCTGTCACAAGAGGCTGATGATGACAATGGTGGTCATGCGAACATATATCAGGATCAGAATGCAGAAGGGGTTTTGAAAAGGGATACGATTGTCAGACATTTAGTGTAAGTTTAGACATTTATATAAAGTGTCATGTGCACCGAAAATCAGCTAGTTTGTTGTGAAACTATCCGTCATTTATCTTCTGTGAAATTTGCTACAGCTGACTTGAATGATAATAGAACAGAATTGCCAGTTCCATGTGCCAGAGAAGTTCATTAAAACTGTTCTTATTCTCCATTCCTGATTTGCTTTGTTGTGTGTTAACAATCTTAACTTTAACAGTCAAAATCCAAGATGGCCACCAGGCAGCCATCTTGTTTAATCAGTTTCAAACAAATAAATATGCACAACTATAGGATTCAAGTGGAACATACATGTATATGAAATTTGAGAAAGATCTGTCCAGTAATTCTTGAGAAATAGTATGATAATTGTTTACGGACGAAAGGCGATTTGGATATGGTGGGCTAAAATCTTAATTGTTGGCTTCATGTATTGCGTATAGACTAGAGACAGATTTGTGGTGCAGTATAAATATATCCATGCACCTTGTTCGTCGAGCAAAATTAATAGCAGTGAATTTCTGTTTAAATTCATTTTTTTCTTCAATTTTGGTCTCCAAAGAAAATACAAAATCAGAAAAATATACGTACAAGTAAAATGTACAGATGAAAATTTGTACTTTTAGTAATATAAACATTAAATGGAGATCGCTGCATGTTAATATGCTTTCTCTTGCCTCCAGTCACAATAAAAAATACATGTACCAACGTACTTGTATTTTCTAACAAATAGGGAGCTATTTGATTCTCCATGTCTTTGAAACTAAAATGAGAAGAATTAATGTATATGCCATATTCAATTACCAAGGTAATGATAACCCGTGTAAACATTATCTTCTGCAATTACTGATTTTTGGGACACTTTCATAAAATTCTCAGAACTCTAAATTCAAACTTTCCCTGTGCATTTTAAGTTCCATAAAACTTGTTTAATAGCACACTTTTTCACATTTTCAAAGCTCAACTCTTACATTAAAGATACCATTTTATTATGAACTGATAGTCATAAAACACAAAAATGGTAGACCCAATATTTTGGTTTGCAAAAGGCAAATAATAAAAAAAACCAATCACAGACATTACAAAGAGATCACATGAAATTATTTTTGGCAATGTTCAGCTGGTTTAATATACCATTGTATTTTCACTATAATCCAACGCACACACATATATATCTGACTAGATATCAACAAAGGCACCTTAAACAAACATTACGCATGTTTCACATGCTAAAACTAAACCTGATTTATGCAAATGGTAGACTCCCATATTTTGGTTTGCAAAAGGCAAATAATAAAAAAAACAATCACATACATTACAAAGAGATCACGTGAAATTATTTTTGGCAATGTTTAATAAAGTTGGACAGCTGGTTTAATATACCATTGTTTATTCACTATAATCCAACGCGCACACACATATATCTGACCAGATATCAACAATGGCACTTTAAACAAACATTACGCATGTTTCACATGCTAAAACTAAACCTGATTTATGCAATATTTAAGAAAATTCATAGTATTCATTATTCAGGACTGGAATATTTTTATCCTCTGCGTGATCAAGCATCTGCATACTGGGCAATGTTCAACCCTTGCTGCACAGGCCATGCAGGCGAAGATGTGACCACAGTCACAGAACACTGTCCCTCTGGGCATCCTGACAGAGCTGCCAACTCTTACGATTTAGGCGTAATTATTACGATTTTGAGGTCTGAGTTACGCTAGTACGATTTTCTAAGTAAAATTACGATTTTTAAAAAAATCCGGAATTTTTCCGTTTTTTGTTAGTTTCGCCATTATCCGGTCCCGATGTCCGTTTTCAGTATTATAATCGCAAATCAGATACACACGTGCGTTTGCATCGATTCTCGAGATAGGCTGGAGTTAATTCAATGTGAAAAGGACGTTTGTAGATTAAGTAAAATGTCGGAAAAACGTGTCAAACTGGACGGGCAAGAAGACGTTTCTCCTAGGAAAAAATGGAAATTATCCATTCCGACGTTTAGAGGGGAATATCCGAAGCTGTATCCGGACATTGTAAAGTCTGCCAAAGGAACTACTTATGCCCGATGCATTCCGTGTTGCTGTGATTTTGTGATTTCGCACGGTGGCGGAAATGACATAAAAAAGCATTTGAATACTACCTGAGATTACTATTTCTTAATCTCTAAGGTTGGCAGCTCTGCATCCATACAGATTCCACATTCTGAAATGAAAATGACACATAGGTAGTGATGGACATACCCGAAAATTTGAATGGAAATATAAAGTACATATATTTATTTTGTCAGCAATATTATCAGGTCAGATAATACACAAAATGAATAGAAATACAAATTGAGCATCACTACCTATTTTTCAATTGTCTCATACCGTATTGATCCTGCAATAAGCCCAGGGGGCCAACAAATAAACTCTTACTCAAAGTAGGGGTGCACATTATTGCAGGACAATGAAATAACACTTGTTAGCATTTCTACTGTACTGTATTTGTCATGGGTGTGCTTATTACCGGGCATGGGCTTATTGCCGGATAAATACCGTTTTTAATCTATGTTGATGTATGTGTTGCCCCACCCCGGGCTTGTTGTAGGATTAATATACTGTATATTGGAAGTAATTCAATTTAGATTAGCATTATCAGTATTAGGTAGCAGTTTGATAGTATGCACATATCAGCCCTGACTGACACCCCGGGGCTGATGGGTGGGGCCAAAAAGGTCGAATTGACTGAAATTTAAAAAATCTTCTTCTCAAGACCAAAATATGGTAGAATCAAATACTCTTTATTGATGGAAGGGTCTTAAGGTGCTTAACCAAAATTGCGAATTTCATGACCCTAGGGTATCATGTTTCCCCCTGGGGAAGGAGGGGGGGGGGGCAAAATTTATTATGGTTTATAATGGCAAATGATACTTTGAATATTACATGTTAATAACTTGTTTGCAATTATAACCTTGAGTTGAGTTTGATACTTTGAAAATTTTGAGCCAGCCCTACCCCAAAAGGGCTGTAGGGTGGGGCCCAAAGGAGTCTGTGCTAAAATGTCTTCATTTTCCTTGTTTAGAATCAGAGGTACTAGTTTCAAATACTTTTTAGTCTTAAATCTGTATGCTAGATATTGAATAAGGTGGTTTTATTGTTTTTTGTCACTTTGAATAATATTTCTGTACATGTTAAAAACAAAATCAACTCTCTGTATAAATATATCAGGTGACCGTTAAGGCCCATGGGCCTCTTGTTTATGAAGTGCCAATTCCGCGTCGTTGAGAAATAAACAGTTCACCCTTTGCATAGCCTGAATTAATAGATCTTACCACAAAATTGCCCAAATTTTTCCAAAAACATTTATAAAACTCAGCTGTAAAACCATCTATGCCAGTACTTTTGTTATTTTTATGTTTTTTAAAGTTTGACCTGCTTCTTCCAGTGTTATAGGACCCGCTAATTTTTCTGCATCTTGTCCACTTAGTTTACAAACATGATTGTCTTTAAGTAATTCATTCAAATGCACCTCCTCTATTCCACTGTCATCACTATAGAGCTTTTCATAAAACTTGCGAACTTCATTTAAGATTTCTTCTTGTTTTGTTATTACATTACCGTCATCTAAATGCAGTTTAGGAATTATTTTAGAGGTAAAATTTCTATTTTCTAAGTTGAAAAGATAGTTTGTTGGCTTCTCACCTTCTTCGGCCCATTTAGCTCTTATCTGATCATGCTACCTTTGATTTTATGTTCTCTGTTTTTTTCTAATTCTTTCTTTTGTCTTAATTGTACTTAATTAATATCATCCTGTTCCTCAAGTTTTTGAATCGCTATTCTTAGATTATTTTCATTCAAGTTTTGTTGTGTCTTGGTGTGGGCTGAGTAAGTAATTGTTTTAACTATAATGATCATAAGTAAAGTCTCTAGAAAAAGTGGATCATCAATAGTAAACTGAAGGTCTGCATCTGGTATGTTTGATAAGTTAGCAAGTTTATAAACAGGGAGACAAAATATACTTGAAATCCAAAATACATTCCTTCACTAGATTAAGATACTTTAGATCATGTAATAATGGGCTATTGTTGAATTTCCAAATACCTTTCCCTGTTTTAAATTCAGTGAGTTGTAGAGAAATCGAAGGAAAAGAGTGGTCTGATCTGTATCCTGCTTCTATATTTGATTGCATAGTACTTGAAAGTAAGCTTTCACAATAAAAAAATCTAAGCGTGCCTGTTTTTTTGGATTACTTTTCCTCCAGGTGTACCTTTTTAATTAAGTTCTCATGATGTTCCCTAAAAATATCAATTAAAGAGAAATTGTCAATGATTTCCAGAATTTTGTCCCTGGCCTTGGGGATCTATATTGGGGTCTAGAACTAAGTTAAAATCGCCACATATGATAACATATTTATTATTGAAGTCTTCAATGGTTTCAGATACAAGATTATGAAATACAGGATTATCCTCATTTGGACCATATAAGTTAATGAGTGTCATTTTCAAATTTTCGATTCCAATTTCAACAGCTAAAAAAATACCACTGTCCTTTTCTCTCCTTCAGTATTTTAAATTTAAAGTTGTTTTTAAATAAGATGGCAACCCCC